AATTTTATTTTCAAAAATAAAATTAGTTCCCTATTTCCCCATATGAAAATATTATATGCCTCCATATTTACGTGTCTGTCCTATAGTGGAGAGGCTGACTTCCTTACAAAGTCTTTGGAAATCAGTCTTACAAATTTAGGTTATATACATATGCCAATCAGTAGCGTACACAGCACAGTACATGCCTCCTCATTTGTACACGGAAGATGATAATGGAGTCCTTGAAGACTTGTGAAGATTAAGAGACAACGTGGCTAGGAACTCCCTGAAAGTTACCAGCTGAGTGTATGGTAGTCATTATTGTTATGATCAATTTCAACATAAAATTGTAAGTCTTTTCGTTAAAAAGAAAGTTAGAAAATAGTAAGAAATGTTCATCCTCAAATGCATAAAATAGAGACTTATAAAGGTATGAGGAAACAAGCAGGTATTTTGTCAGGTGTTAGCTTTTGAAACAATAAAAAATATTTCTTCCAGGCTGGGTGTGGTGGCTCACACCTGCAATCCCAAAACCTTGGGATGCCAGGAAGGAAGGATCACTTGAGCCCAAGAGATGGAGACCAGCCTGGGCAATTAAGTGAAACCCTGTCTCTACAATAATAATAATAATAATAATAATAATAATAATATTGGTCAGGTGTGGAGCATGAGCCTGTAGTCCCAGCTACTTGGGAGACTGGGGTGAAAAGATTACTTGTGCCCAAAAGGTTGAGGCTGCAGTGAGCCTATCGTTTATATATATATATGTTTAAATAGATATATAAATTTATATATCTTTTTATATATGTTTTTATATATGACATATTCAAATGATATATAAAAATATATAAATAATATATATCATATAAAATATGATACATATCATCTATACATATATGACACATGTAATCTACACATATATAATATATGACACATATCTACACACAGGAGAAACAGATGATATATATCATAATATAATAAATATATATCACATATTAAATACATACATAGAAAGAAATAGCCATTTTCATTCAACAGTAATTATTATTGCAGTATTGCCAGTTACTTGAGCATATCAAAGCTTTAATAATGTGATAATACCTACATTATTCCATTATATTTCTGGTTACACAACTGGATGAATACTCTTGATATGGTATATATGGTTCATTCAAACATTACCCCTTTTTGCTTGATGCATGTTAATCTACAATAGTTTATGTGCTGGCAACTGGAATAACCTATCACCTATTTTCTTCTCTTAAAAATTATCTTTATTAGCCCAGTGCTTTACAGTTACCTATCTACAGCCATCTGTGAAATCCGAGTGGCTTGACATAATTTGTGCTACTCTATCTCATTAGCTCATGTTGACTTCACTGTATATGATTGGTCTACAGCAAGCAACAAAGATGGGTGTCATGTGTTAAAACACTGTTTTAGTGGACTTAATGATCTTTCACGTTAAAATTGTATGATAGAATTTCAGTTAAAATCGTACAATTCAAGAAGAAACAGTTGAATTAAACAATTTTAAGTCCTTCTCTGAGTGATGTATACCTACTCATTTATTGACAGAGGACTTTCTTTTGGTTCAGTTATTTTTCACTCTACTTTTAAACAAATAGCTTAAATCTACAAGAATAATAACACAGGTCAGGTGCAGTGGCTCACACCTGTAATCCCAGCACTTTGAGAGGCTGAGGCGGGTGGATTACCCGAGGTCGGGAGTTCGAGACTAGCCTGACCAACATGGAGAAACCCTACCTCTACTAAAAATACAAAATTAGCCAGGCATGGTGGTGCATGGCTGTAATCCCAGCTACTCAGGAGGCTGAGGCAGGAGAATCGCTTGAACCTGGGAAGCGGAGGTTGCAGTGAGCCAAGATCACACCATTGCACTCCAGCCTGGGCAACAAGAGCAAAACTGAAACTCCCTCTCAAAAAAAAAAAAGAATGATAACACATATACATTTTCTACCTTTCCCAAATGATTAATGGTCGGGGACTTCCTTGGACATATGAATTATATATATAAATTATATAGCATGTCTGTGCTTTATATTTATGTAAATATGCTTTAATATGTATAATTTAAAAACAGTGATGCATTCAAGCCTGGAGTGTTGAACAAAAGCAATCAAAAGAAATATGACAGTTATTATAATAAAAGAAAACCTTAACTATTATAAAAATATTTTTCTCACTAACTCATATTAGGGCAGTCACTCCACCTTCAGTTAACATGAGGTCAGAATATTTCTCATCATTGTTGAAATGCTGCTCTAAAAATCAAATTTTCCAGCCCACCCAGGGACACAATCAATCAATCAATCAATCAATAAAGCTTAATGATAAATTAAGAAGGTAGGTAGTAGAGTCAGATATACATTTTCAAAATTCCTAATATCTTTTGATAAAAATATTTACAATGATGTAAACATCATGGTAAGATAAAATTTGCCACTTTTCATTTTTTTCTGGTCATACTTTTTACAGATTTATATTAATAACATTTTAAGATAACATCCATATTGAAAGACATTTCATGGAAATCTTTGTAACATGCCAAATGCAATTATTTCTTGTGCAATCTAAGGACAAAATGTATCATCAACCATTTGAATCACTAATTTTATCGGTAACTATTGGTTGAGTTCTGGACCCAGGAAAAACAAGAATGAACAAGACAGGAACTGCCCTCAACTAGCTAACACCATAGTGAGATAGTTTTTATATCAACAAATCATTGCAAAAGAAGCGAGCGTGATTTATAACACAGGCATGCACACAGTACAGAAGAGCAGAAAAAGAAACAGTGAATTTTAAGGGGAAGATCAAGGAAGTTTTCACAGATGACAGTGCCTGTAAACTGAGTCTGAAAGGAAGAACATGAGTTTGCTTAATGGACTGTACGTCTAAGCACAAGGAGGCTCATGGGATCATGGCATGCAGGTAAGGCTTGGTGCTACTAGGTGGGGCTTGGTCAGCAAGGAAGGAGAGGACATTGGTAGCCAACACATCCGAGAGAGTCACTAAACCTCTCTGGGAAATTCACAGCTCATTGATTCCACTTCCAGTCACCATTGAGCAGGCTCTCTTCTTAAAGGACTCACCTTCTGCTTGACCCACAATACAGCCTGCTGGAATACACCTCCATTCCTAGGCTTATACGCTTCCCTTCACCATGATTATGCCATGTGTAAAGTTAGGGGCTATTCTCAGAATCCCACTGTAGTAAAGGTTTCATCTATTTCGTATCTCCAAATTATACTTCAGGTCTGAACATCCCATGTCTACTCCATAGTCTGCATTTAAGTAGTATCAGACAGATACTGGATTCTTTTTTTTTTTTTTTTTTTTTTTTTTTAAGAGGTGGAGTCTCTCTCTGTTGCCTAGGCTGGAGTGCAGTGGTGCGATCTCAACTCGCTGCAACCTCCACCCCCTAGGCTCCAGCGATTCTCATGCCTCAGCCTCCTGGGCAGCTGGAATTACAGGTGTGTGCCACCACACCTGGTGAATTGTTTTTTTTTTTTTTTTAGTAGAGATGGGTTTTCACCATGTTGGTCAGGCAGGTCTCAAACTTCTGACCTTAAGCGATCTGCCCATCTCAGCCTCCCAAAGTGCTGGGATTACAGGTGACTGCACCCAGCCAGAAGAAGACTTCTAAAGACATACATAATTTAACTTGTGATGTTAAGGTAAACATCACAAATATATATAATGACCATAAAACCACAAAGATAAGTAGAAATCCACAAAAATATGTCTGTTTAGTAGGTGATATGGTTTGACTGTGTCCCCACCCAAATCTCACCTTGAATTCCCACATGTTGTGTGAGGGACCTGTTGGGAAGTAACTGAATCGTTGGGGCAGGTCTTTCCCATGCTGTTCTCATGGTAGTGAATAAGTCTCAAGAGATCTAATGGATCTATAAGGGGGAGTTCCCCTGCACAAGCTCTCTCTGTGCCTGCTGCCATCCATGTAAGATATGACTTGCTCCTCCTTGCTTTCCACCATGATTGTGAGGCCTCCCCAGCCACATAGAACTGTAAGTTCATTAAACCTCTTTATTTTGCAAATTGCCCAGTCTCAGGTATGTCTTTATCAGCAGCAAATGGACTAACAGAAAATGGACTAATAATACAGCAGTGCCAGCATTCCAACTGCATAACCTTGCTTTTTTCATTTTATTACATTCTAAATCCTAATATGAGACTTCTTAATGTGCATGTTGGCCACACTGAAGGGCTAGAAGTATGGCATGCTTCAGGCCCTGGGAGAGCAGGCCAGCATCACATCAGCGCCATGAGCATCTCTCACCCAGGCCCTCATGGAGGGACAGCAACACAGCAACCAGGCCTGTACCCATGTCCATAGTATGTAGGTTCTTACCAAGAAATGCACCCCCAAAGCCTTTATGCCCCAAAGCTTCCTCCATAACCACTACTGTCCTCATCAGAGGAAAACTCTATAAAGGCTGAAGAAGTTACTGCAAAAATAAATAAGAAGAATAAATGGGTGTGTGCAAAGCAATCCCAGATAACATTTTAATCTGAATTATAAGCAAGTCAGGTAAGTCAGATGAAATTTACATGTGAAAGATTTTCTGGGTACAGAGATGGACAGAGTTGGACAAACCAAACGCTGTCATTGTTTTAGATGGTTTATAAGGAGGACGCGAGGGAACAACACTTGGCTTTCTGGTCTGAGTGATACACGTCAGCCCAGCAACTGGCTCAACTAGAGAGATGGACACAAAACATGGGCTCATGCTCTTGACTCTAAATATTGCCTCAAGTTATCAGTACTTTCCACCTTGGGAACAAACTATGACTCATTTGGAAAATGTCACCCACTAAAACCACTGAATTTTGTTCAATGTAAGCTCAAAGGACAATATCTTAAGTTGATTCATAATAAAAACAAGTGTACGTCTGATATAGAACTCATGATTATGAAAGTGAAAGTTCAAGCCCTTACTCCCCATTGCGTTGTGAAACATTTTCTACATTTATACCTCCTTTCTTTTTTGCCCTCTTTCTCTCCTGCAAAAAAAAAAAAGTCATTTTAAACATGGTGACAGTCCAAAATTCAAAATAAATTGAACATTCATTTGATATTCCTTGATCGGCCTAATAAAGCCATTTTTTTTGGTCATTTCAGTATTCCATATTCAAGCTATGTTTGCATTTTGTTGTTTGATTTAAATATTTGTTAATCTTTTTAGAAATTCTGAATCTAACACAATAAATCCTATAATTGAGCACATTTACAAAAGTCCTTTAAATATAACACATGGCAAGGACATTTTCAAATTCAGAAGTTCTCTGATTTACATTATTTTAAAATCATACTATATAATGATTTGTGATGATATCTTTACAATGTCTGACAAAGGTGATAGCTACCATTCCTTGTGTGGATACTGTGTTAAGCCATCTGAACAAAGGCAGTATGGAGTATATCATAATCATTACCATTTTATTTCTCAGAAATTGAGGCTTTTGAAAACTTCACAATTAATAAATGACTTTTGACCCAGGGCTTTCTGATTCTAAAATCTGTGCTCATCAGGATAATCCCACACTCCCCAGGGAACAGACTGATAACTTAGTAAGTCTCACACTGCTCCCAAACACTTGCCCATATTAACTCATGTAATCCATACAACAAGCCTATGCAATCAGATAGATCTCTTTTTATCAGTCTCATTCTATAAATGTGCAAACTAAAGCGCAGAGAAATTAAATGACTTGTCCAACTTTGCAAAGCTACAAAATGGTGGAACTGGGTTGCAACCTCAGGCAGTCTGACTATAGATCCTGCATACTTCAGCACTACGCTACAATATTAGCTAGTGAATATGTCACCTGTTAAGATTTTTGTTTCATTTATATGCAAAAATTTTATTCATGTAACAGACCACTGCCCTTCTAGTGAAAATCATATCTAATTTCAGGAATTAGAATTTGCAAACCAGTTTCATTGCATAAGCCTGGTTATATAACTTGTTTAAATTTAGTGGAAAAGTCTTTCTCAATATTACTGAATATATTTGTTAAGATTACATTTTCAGTTGTTCATTTTAAACAGGCTAGCTGTATTCTCCTAGCTAAAGAGAATGGCCATAGAAGATGTTAAAAAGATTTCAGTTAACAAATGTTTTAAATATTATATTTAAATAATATTTACAATCTCACCAAATTCCTCCATTGTTTCCTTAGTATCTTGAAACTAAAGTACACGTAAGAAATATCTAATATATCTTTCTCCTTCATGTGTAAAGACCTCATAGATAAAATCGAATAAGAGTAAACACGCTGGAGGGAAGCAGCAGCAGAAATTCCTTATGGTTGGTGGGGATTGCTGTGTGCATGGGTGTGTGAGAAACATGTTTCCTCATATATCATTTAAACATAATTTTCTCAAATATACAAAATGAATTTGGGTCATAAATTAGAATTAATTAGGATTTTATCATTTATCTCTTAGGTAAGTAACATATAAAATAGTAGACTGCGTTAATCAATTTGAAGAGACAATTATGGTCACAATTTTTTCCAGCTTCCTACTTGTGATGTTAGTTGACCACAGATAACACCATTTATTTTTACAGAGTTTGAGCGTTAGCTAATAATTTCACATCCGTTACCTCTTTGGACCTTCAAAGGAAATCTTATGAAGTAGGTAAAGCAGAAGCGATTCCTATCATTTTTCAAATGAAACTGAGGCCGAGAGATTAGGGGACTAGTATGAGGAGAAATGCTGGAGACGAAAATTAACATCTTCTGACTGAGTTTAACTTTCTTTCCATAACAGCATAAATATCATACACCAACTGTCAGTATGGTGCATCGGTAAGTGGAAGCACATCAAATACCCTGTATAATAAAATTAAACTGCTTCAAAGTATAAACTAGGTAAAAAGTTTAAGCTTACATTGGCACCAGATCTATATAATATTAACCAGAAGATATTGAAACTGTCCAGTGATGTTTTTTAATTCAATTAAAAAAGAGGGAAGATTCTACAGTTCTAAATTCTGCCTGTACAGGTATACATAATTATCATATTTGTATACTTACACCTAATAGATACAGCTCAGCATGCTCCTTCATTTTACAATTGGTTGATACAGAAATAGACTAGATCTAGCCATATTTCATACCAGCAACACAAATACATGTGTTTTGCACATTTTTCATTATAAAAATAGGTACTCTGTTGAAAATCTCAACATATAACTGTGTACATGATATTAGTTTAAAAATACCTACTAGTGAAGAGACTGGTGTTGTACATCATGATGGGGATGGATACAGTTCATTCAATCCACAGTCCACTGAGTGACTCACAACCAAAATATGTGCCATTACTGTTCATATCTAAACAGACACAAAAAGATGACAAAATCGGTCAATAAGTATGATCTCATATGGTTTGCATAAGATTATCTTTCTATTCTGTAGTATAATAATAATAATAAAAATAAAAAGATGTTTGATAAGCAACCCAACAGAAAGACCTTATCCTACATACCTCTGTTGTTGTTGTTTTTATTTCATTAGCTTTAAGAATACAAATGGTTTTTGGTTACACAGGTGAATTGCACAGTGGTGAAGTCTAGGATTTTAGTGCATCCATCACCTAAGTAGTGTACATTGTACCCAATAGGTAGTTTTTATCCCTTACCCTCCTCCCACCCTCTGAATCTCTAATGTCCGTTATTATCACTCGGATGCCTTTGTATACCCATAGGCTGGCTCCTACTTATAAGTGAGAACAGGTAATACCTCCATTTTGTACACAATGTGAAGTATAGCCATGCGAACATACCACATAGTCAGTAAATATCTCTGATTCAGAAGTAAATTTACTAGTAACTCAATGTAACATTTCTAGAAAGCCATATGCTTATCAATAAGAAAACCAAACTTATCCCGTGATGTGAATTTTTTAAGGCCTATGTGTTGAGCATTACCCTATGCATGCATATGAACTTCCATTTAGTCTTCACCACAAATCTGCAATGTAGTCGTCTCGTTTTACAGATTTAAAGACTCAGGGGAGTAAGGCAACTGGCCCAGGACTCTGCCCTCTATAGAACATGCTGCTTTACCATATCACGTGGACCATGCAGAGCAACCCTTCTTTCAATGATTGGTTGTGCCCTATGCGTCCTACAATGTGACCAACAGCTATTGAGTTGATATATAAAGATACATCTCACTGGTTCTCTGTCTCTCATGTAGTTCTCTAAAATGCAAGCATAGTATTCTACTCATCTTTGTATGTCAAGATAGATATAAAGTGAGATCTCACTTTGAAATATAGTGCCTGGCACATACAAATATGTGCTGAGTAAATGAATGAATGAACAGCAACAACAAAAGTAGGCATTGGCATCTATTTTTTGCCTTAATTCACACTTTTGTTTTGTCAATCCTTTAATTTACTTGCCAAAGTTATCTTTCTGTTTGCAATACAATCTCAAGAAGAAAAAGAATAATCTGAAATATCATTTGAATGAAGTTCAAATATATTCATTCCAAAAATCACACACTAGTTAGCAGTTTAATTTAATTCATTTAGAGATCGAATTCTATTTCTCAAAAATAGAAAAAGGTTAAATAATAAAGACATTTTCCAGAAAGAAAAAAAATCCATGTTTTACCTGTAGATTAGGTATCGGCTTCCTAACAGGACTTACACCTACGCACCTTCCTCGATCACAGAGGGAAGGACAGCACGAATATAGGAGAAAACTGAAGTCGAAGTCTATAGGCAGAAACTGCATGATTACTAGGAGCTAGGAAAAGCTGCTCTGGATTGGAGATGCTACAGAAAAACAGCCAGCTTGGAGACTCTAGTGGTCAGATCCCAATTTACTCTGCAGAAAAAGCAGCACCACAGCAATCTCCCCAGAGCAAGAGTGGGCAAATTGCAACCCTGCTGCCAGTTTTTGTGTAGCCTGTGAGCTAAGAATGGTTTTGACATTTTTAAATGTTTGGAACAAACTAAAAGAATTGTGCGAATTATTTGAAATTCAAATATCAGAGTCTATAAATAAAGTTTTATTGGAACACAGCCACAGCCATTCATTTACATATTGTCTCTGGCTGCTTTCACGTTACCATGGCAGAGTTGAGTAGTAACAGAAACAGTATGACCCACAAAGCCTAAAATATGTACTATCTGACCCCTTATAAAAATCGGTTGCTGGGCCGGGCGCGGTAGCTCACGCCTGTAATCTCGGCACTTTGGGAGGCCGAGGCGGGCGGATCACGAGGTCAGGAGATCGAGACCATCCTGGCTAACACGGTGAAATCCCGTCTCTACCAAAAATACAAAAAAATTAGCCGGGCGTGGTGGCGGGCACCTGTAGTCCCAGCTACTCGGGAGGCTGATGCAGGAGAATGGTGTGAACCCGGGAGGCGGAGCTTGCAGTGAGCCGAGATTGCACCGCTGCACTCCAGCCTGGGCGACCCAGCAAGACTCTGTCTCAAAAAAAAAAAAAAAAAAAAAAAAAAGAGAAGAAGAAGAAAAATCGGTTGCTGATTTCTGGTCTAGAGAATTGTTCATGCTTGATTTGGAGGAGATTATATGACAGGAAGAGGGGTGCTTTAGGGCAGATTGGACGCAGACGCTGCGAACCCCTGGCCCTACAGAAGATCATGAGCCTCAGGGGCAATTAAATAACCGCCTTGAGTAGGGCAGGGTATTTCTTTGGGGACAGCAGGATTTTCCCTGTAGGAAGCACAAGAAATGAGGTCAGACTCAGCCACACTTCATGTCAGGTGCACAAGCTGGGGCAATGAGGATGGATGGAGAAAGCTGGCCACCGGGATAGTGTCATTCTGCAACGTGCCAGAATGGCATTCTCTTCAAGGAAATCTCCAGAGCTCTGACTCCCTCCCTAAAGGTGCCAATCTTCAGAATGACAGATAACTGAGACAACCAGTCTTCTTGCTGAAGGCCTAAGAAAGGTCATGATAACAGCAAACAGAAGAACTCTAAAAAAGTTAAAAGATCCTCCATTTGCCCCCATGTAAGGGCAAAGAGTGGAGCACAGCAAAGATGCATAAATGGTAAAAATGTAAAATGAAGAAAGCATGAAGGTTATAGAGAAGAATCCGCTACATACATAATCCTTCCACGGAGAGGTGGCATTTCTTTTTGAAAAACATCAAAGGAAAGTAAAATACATTTTGTAGAATGTCTGTTTTTGAGACAACAGAGAACAAAATCCCAAAGATTTATCTTCCAGCAGAGAAGTTAGTTAAGCCCAAATAAATGAGAAGATCCCTAAATGGTTTCCCCATTGCATCTTAGAGGTGAAGAGAAGGTGGGTTTTGAGCTGGAAGACTTGGCTCTAAACACCAATTCTGATATATTCTTGCTACAGGACCTTGGACAGCCGGCCTCATATTCGAAGTCTCACTGGCACCACCTCTAAAATACAGTTGTTCTGAGAGTCGTAAGACAAAATATGCACACGATGTCTAGAATACTGCCTGTCTCATGGGAGGTACGTGAGATTTCCTAACTGCCTAGCTTGCTTTCTCTCCCTTCTCTTCTACTACTAATCTCCAACCAGAATTATTACAGCTATAGGAAGTGGCTGCCAGATACTCAGTTCTCTCCTACGCTCCATACTTGACTTTGCTCCTTCTGTTTTCTGTGAGTAGGCAACATCTTCTTATTTGGGGTGCCTTTCTATTTGTCTGGTAAACTGCTACTCATTTCAAAAAATAATAATTCAAAAGCTAATTCTTACCAACCCCTAGTCCCTCAGGCACAAATATACTGCCATAACATTTTGTACATAATGTATATAATATAATAATATTATATTGTATTATCATCTGTTTGTATATCTGTCTTTCCCAGGAGGTTAAATCTTGGTCATTCTGTCTGATATAGTATAATATCAAGATGATTAATTATAATTTCCGGAGGAAGACAGACATAGTTTTTTAAAAAATGCTCACACATACATACTTCTGCCTATCTACCAGCCCTCTCTGCCTATCTACTGCCTATACTGCACAAGGGTCTTCTGATTCCTGTTGAATAGAGGAATTTCCTTCACAGCAGTTACAATCTGGAGTATTGCAGTGATTTCCAGACAGCTAGGTGTGCAACACGTTCTGATATTTGTTGAGAGAAAGAAGTGAAGAATGAACAAGTAAAGAAAGAATGACAGAAAGGCAGCCTTGGTGAGGATTTGGTATATAAAAAATTGGCTTGGCATGGTGGCTCATGCCTAAAATCCCAACACTTCAGGAGGCCAAGGCAGGCAGATTGCTTGAGTCCAGGAGTTCAAGACCACCCTGGGCAACATGGTGAAACCCCATCTCTACAAAAAAATACAAAAATTAGCCTGGCACGGTGGTGCACACCTGTAGTCCCAGCTACTTGAGAGGCTGAGATGGAAGGATCACCTGAGCCTGGGAGGTGGAGGTTGCCGTGAGAGGTAATCACACCACTGCACTCCAGCCTGGGTGACAGAGTGAGACTCTGTCTAGAAAAAAAATAAAAATAAAAATAAAAAATGAACATAGCATATTGCAGGTGGCATTGACAATTTAGTTATCCTGGAGATCCATCTGGAAATACACACAAAATGAAATAAATCTCATTTTATGGATGTAAGTCAACTTTAGGCAGCTCCCAGTAACAATATTCCCTCATTTCTTGAACACCTACTACATGTGAGGCTCAGTGGGAGGTACAACCTCTAAGTCAGCTATTATTTGTATGTGTTCACAAGAAGATATTGAAGATGAAGAAAAAAATAGGGAATTTTTTTTCTTGACTAAAGTCACACAGATATTAGTACAGTAAGTCCTCACATAACATTGTTGATAGGTTCTTGCTCACCTTAGTACCTGGAGAAAACCCACACAGACATGGGAAGTTTGTGCAAACTCCACACAGACATTGGCCCCAACTAACATTTTTTCCGCCAATATTATAATTATAAGAAAATAAAGTTGAATTAAACAAAGTTATTCAAGGACTTGTTATATACCGAGTTCTAAAATCTATGCATTTCCACATGACAAATCAAGATTCTTCGTTACTTTGATAAACGATGCTTTTAACATAGTATTTATTGTGTGAACAGTTAATGAATGGTAGCTGTTGTTACTACTGTTATTAACACCATCACACAACAACAGGGGAACAGTTTAACATTATGGAATGTTAAACTGCTAAACTTATATAATACTTTATTATTATAAGAAATGTGGAATTTATACTGATATAAGTAAATGTATGTAAAATGCAGAATATAAAATGGCATGTATTAGTTAATTAAAATTACAGGCAATATTGTGTATGGTAAATTAATAAAAATTAGAAGTTGGTATGCTGAAAA